AAAAAAAATTAAAAAAAAAAAAAAAGAGCATTCCCAGGAGACAAGACAAGTGTTTCTGATCATTTGTTGTTGTTTTTTTTTTTTAATTTTTTTTTCAACGTTTATTTATTTTTGGGACAGAGAGAGACAGAGCATGAACAGGGGAGGGGCAGAGAGAGAGAGGGAGACACAGAATCGGAAACAGGCTCCAGGCTCTGAGCCATCAGCCCAGAGCCCGACGCGGGGCTCGAACTCACTGACCACGAGATCGTGACCTGGCTGAAGTCGGACGCTTAACCGACTGCGCCACCCAGGCGCCCGTGATCATTTGTTGTTTGAAAGTCCCTTTTCCTTCTGGAGCTACTTGCTATCCCTATTAGAATTTGAATTATTGGCTAATTGTCTAACAGTCTCAGAAGGTCTTCACATAGTAAATGCAGAAGTAAGAAAAAGTGTATTTGTTAGAATGTTTCATTGCAAGTAGTTGACTATGCAGGCAATATTGGCCAACCACTAAGGAAAGTTTATCATTTCATGTTCAAAATTCAGGGGCACATTAGCACCAGTGTTGGTTAATTTGGTGACGTCATTACCGTACTGTTAAAGAATGATTAATGAAGATCATTTAGATGATAGAAACTAACTTTAAACACTTCATGAACTAGACAGTCTCCTTTCAGAGAACCACAAAATGGGATGGAAGGCAGGAAGCTTTTTACAGGATAAAGAATAAACAACAAGGAAAAGACAAATAGAAAAGAACTGATAGTCTGGGGCCATATAGTCAATCTTGTTTGGGTCAAAAGACTCAGAGTTGGTTTGGCATTCTGAGACTGGCTAACTGAGTACACTGTGTGTCTGGTCAAGGGGAACTTGTTTATAGGGGCACAGAACTTATCCAAGTTTGGTTTGCTGAGGTGACATCCTGAGCAGCAGTGGCTCCATCTTGGGCCCAGAAATTATTTCAGCACCATCAAAGACAAAAATTCTTTTTTTATCTATTGTTTTCTATCCTCAGGATATGGGCTTTTTTCCCATAAGCTTGTCTTCATGGTTAAAAAGTGGCTGCTGCAGCTCCATACATCATGTTTGTACACATCAGAGTTCAAAGGCTAAAGACCATAGATCTCTTCCTTGTATCTCTTTTAAGAGGGAAGAACCACATTCCTAGGGCTCGACATCAGGCTTATGTTTGCTTTCATTGCCCAGAACTACATTTCTTTCCTAAACAATTGATCTGCCTATCCATATAATCTATTTCAACATCTCTTCCCCATGAGCCAGCTACTGAGCAGACCCAGTATCCAATGACTATAAACAATGGTGTCCGGGAGGAAAATGCATCCTTGATCAGGGAATGTAGAACTGTATCTTCTAAAGAAGATGGCAGTAAACATCCTAGCCCTTTTTTCTAATCTTTCTGCACCTTCACTTTGGCTTTCCAGCTAAGGGAAACTTGGTTTTGTTGCAGCCATCAAAATAGAATAGAAATCTACATTCCTACTAGCCTCTGGCAAAGAAAATTGACACTATACTTGAATATTCATAGTCCTAAATGAGTATTCTCCCTTTAATAAGTATCCATGGGCATTTGCAGCTGACTGTTTATTCTTATGAAACAAGCCACTGAGTGTGTGTGGATGGGTATAGATATACACAAATCATATGTATAGCTTTAGAAGAATTCTCACTTACTAGAGCTTTTAAAGGTTACTTGGTATCTTCATTCAACACAATATATTTTCAGTAATGATTTTTTTGGCAAAGCGAGTAAATTAGACTTTTGTTCATTTGGTGCAAGAGGCAACTTTGTTGCTGCAATATATACAATTAAACGGAGTTGAGATGTACTTTAAATGAAAATTGAAAACAAATTAAGTAATCAGTCAATGTAATGTTTGTGGTTATAGCTCTTGTATATATTTGGATAAGTTAAGGGTGGAAAAAAGCTGTTCAGCATTGCTGGGCATTTTATTTTATTCCAAGGGGAAAGAAGTAGCTGGCAACATTTGAAATTGGCTGTAAAATATTACAGATAATGATAATTTGTTTTTATATTTGTATGAGCCCTTCATCTATTCCCATAGATCAAGTTTAATCATATGGCATATTACTATCTACTAGTGTTAGAATTAGGCAATCTGAAGTTTAGCTAATGAAATATATTTATAGGTTTTTGGGTTTTTTTTTTTTTTTTTTGGTTAATCTTTCTTACTAACCAGGAGTAGGACCTTTTAATTTGACATTTGGAAACATTTGTATTAATAATAGCAATTTTTTAGGTTCCATCTTCTCGCAGTTTGACATTTGTAAAGTTAATGTGTATCTTTTTATCGCTTATTACAAATTATTTCCTTAATTTTATGACTTTGGGATGGCTGCCAGTGACTTACTGCCTCAAAAATCATGATGTTGAGAAAGAGATGATTATGTTTTATATTTAGTTAGATTTATTAGTGCTGACTTGGGCTTTGTGCTGAGGCAAATGGGTTTACACAAGTCATCTGAGGATTTTTGGGTCTCTGCTTAAAGTTCAAATTCAACCATTACAAGGCTATGATAATTTATGAAGCTTAATCCCTGAGCCATTATTTTTCACAGTTAACTACATTTGTTTTAGATTTTGAATGGGGATCTTAACTCGGGTTTTGATGCAAGTATCACACCCTGCTATACATTGCATTCTGTTTTAATACAGTACTAAACTTCCAAGAGCAATAAATTAGTTTGCTTTCCCCCTCACCTCTTAAAATTATGCATTTTTAAAAAGCCTCTGATTTTCCAGTATTTTTCTGTCCTATTTTTTTAGTCCAACTGTATTAAAAAGGTGTGGGGGATAAGGGGTGCCTGGGTGGCTGAGCATCTGACTTCTGCTCAGGTCATGATTCATGGGCTATCAGTTGGTGCCCCATGGACTTTGTGCTGACAGCTTGGAGCCTGCTTTGGATTCTGTGTCTCCCTGTGTCCCTGCCCCTCCCCTGCTTGTGCTCTGACTCTATTTCTCTCTCTCTTTCTCTCTCTCTCTCTCTCTCTCTCTCTCTCTCTCTCTCAAAAATAAATAAACATTAAAAAAAAAGGTATGGGGAATTTCAGCTAAATTTGTTCATTGGCATTTATTCTATGAATTAATTTTCTGACTTAATTAAAGTCATATTTAATTTATATTTTTTATTTAAGTTATTTAATACATGTATTTTTCAGGACTGTTGATCACAAGTAACAGAAATGCCATTGAAAGTGTTTCAGCATAGCAGAATTTACTGGCTTGTATAATGGCACAGTCTAGGGAATTCATGCTTTAAGCATGGCTGTCTCAAGTACCTCAAACAGGCTCCTTAGTAATCTCTCTTCTTCTCTTTCTCAGTAATGCTTTTCTTTTTGTTGACTTCTCTCTCTTAGAAACTCCTTCATTCTTATAGCCTTGCACACTGGCATCATTATATCCTACAAACTGCCAGTCCAACAAAAATGAGAGATTTTTATTACATATAATCTCAGTAAAAATGAAATTAAATTCCTCTCCATTCTATAACAATCCCATCCCTGACCCATATTCTGTGGCTAGGAGGTTGGAATGTATCCATTTTTGACAAAGTGTGGTCCCTAGATAACCCCCAGAAACATCACCAAAGATATGGTTAGAAATACTTATTCTCAGATCCCTTCTATACCCAGTCAAAAAATCCTACTGTGGGACCCAGTATACTGGGTGGTAAGGAACCCTCCTAGTGAAGCATTCTCAAGCTTGAGAACCCCTGCTGTACATTAACTGGCCAAGACTGGGTCATGTGAGCAACCCCTGGAGCTTCAGTGTAAGTTTCATCTCACAGCAAGCATGTAGAAAAGAGTTCTGAGGAACCAATATCAGGAAAGAGGAAGAGTAGATGGTGTGCTAACAAGAGATCTCTGCTACAATGAAAATTCAGCCCGACACTACTTTTTCTTTGTTTCTAATGACATTATTTCTCAGAACACTGTTGATTATGAATTCCCCTCTAGAAAACCACTATTCTAATTAAAGCAAATCAACATTCATCCTCCTCTAGGATACGGTATTTTAGTTTTAAATTTCATCTCTGAATAGGTAGGTACGTGGCCAATATTGAAAGGTTTCCAGACCATATTTTTTTTTATTCAAATGCTTACCAATTACTTAGATATGGTCAACTACCATTATATACCCTTCAGTAATGAACCTTATTACTCCTATGTGATAAATAATAGACTAAAATGAATTTGCTTCAAAATTTCTCATTGATAATGGCAGTGATGCCTACAGAATTTTAGGAAAGGTAGTCAACATTGCAATATCACCTAAAATAATTTTAAAACAAAATTTTAAAAAGCAGCTAGTAAGGGAGATGCATGTAACATTTCACATTACTTAAAATTTGTGTTTTGATTTATCATTTGTTAAAGATTTGTTAAAGATCCAAAGGTAGTTTTTTTGTTGTTGTTGTTGTTCATTTGTTTTGTTTTGTTTTGTTTTGTTTTTTTGTTTTTTCCTTTTAGTATATTCTTACTTGGAATGTGTAGGGTAGGAATAGGGAATATGTATTTTTTAACAGTTGCCACAGGGAATTTTTTTTATTATTATTATTTCTTTATTTTGAGAGACAGAAAGAGCATGAGCCGGCAAAGGGCAGAGAGAGAGAGGGAGAGAGAATCCCAAGCAGGCTCCATACTGATTTGGGGCTTGATCCACGAACTGTGAGATCATGACCTGAGCAGAAATCAAGAGTCTGGATGCTTAACCGACTGAGCCACCCAGGTGCCCCAACCACAGGGAAATCTTAAAATCAGGCATGTTTGGCATACTCCATAGTAGCAAAAAGTAAGGATGCTGTGGTGGAATAGTTGGGGTCAAATCTTGGTCTTAGTTCAAACTAACTGTAGGGAGGTGGGTAGTTCTTTAGCCTTGTCAAGTCTCAAATGCTGCTTCTATCATTGTTGTTGTTTCCTTCTCTCCCTTTTCTCTTAACTAATCTGCCAGTTACACCTTCTCATTTCTTATGCTGCAGATAGAGGACATGCAGTGGGGTAAAGGAGTCCGGGAGATCCCCCCCTCAGTGTGCACACTGCCATGCAAGCCTGGGCAAAGAAAGAAGACTCAGAAGGGAACTCCGTGCTGCTGGACCTGTGAGCCTTGTGATGGCTACCAGTACCAGTTTGATGAGATGACATGCCAACATTGCCCCTACGACCAGAGGCCCAATGAAAACCGAACCGGCTGCCAGGATATCCCCATCATCAAATTAGAGTGGCATTCCCCCTGGGCCGTCATCCCTGTCTTCCTAGCAATGTTGGGGATCATTGCCACCATCTTTGTCATGGCCACTTTCATCCGCTACAATGACACGCCCATTGTCCGGGCATCTGGGCGGGAACTGAGCTACGTTCTGTTGACTGGCATCTTTCTTTGCTACATTATCACTTTCCTGATGATAGCCAAACCTGATGTGGCCGTGTGTTCTTTCCGGAGAGTTTTCTTGGGCTTGGGTATGTGCATCAGTTATGCAGCCCTCTTGACAAAAACCAATCGGATTTATCGCATATTTGAGCAGGGCAAGAAATCAGTGACAGCTCCCAGACTCATAAGCCCAACATCACAGCTGGCAATCACTTCCAGTTTAATATCAGTTCAACTTCTAGGAGTTTTCATTTGGTTTGGTGTTGACCCACCCAACATCATCATAGACTATGATGAACATAAGACAATGAACCCTGAGCAGGCCAGGGGAGTTCTCAAATGTGACATTACAGATCTCCAAATCATTTGCTCCTTGGGATATAGCATTCTTCTCATGGTCACATGTACTGTGTATGCCATCAAGACTCGGGGTGTCCCAGAGAATTTTAATGAAGCCAAACCCATTGGATTCACTATGTATACGACATGTATAGTGTGGCTTGCCTTCATTCCCATTTTTTTTGGCACTGCTCAGTCAGCGGAAAAGGTAAGTGAAAATGCACACCACACCACACATTCAAAATATGTCTGTTTTTGTAAATATTGAAACCAAATTGATTGTATAAAGCAAGAAGTTTTATAACCTGAATTACTAGGCTTCAGTGCTACAGGAATCTAAAATCTGCAGGGAACTGTGCCACATTCATTTCACTGGAAACCAACAAGAGGTAGCTTTTTCAAGTTAATTTGTGATGGAATTATTCAGTGTAGCAAGAGCTCATCCAGTATAAAATCATGCAGTCTGTCCAAATGAAATCTTCCTATTCATTCATTACCCGCCCTCTCTTCTTACACATATATTTCCTTGGGATAGGAGAAAAAGGCCACAATGCTTCACTGGGATGAAAATGGTCATTACTATTTCATCCATATAGTGGATGAAAATAGGAGAGTTTTGGTTATCACTGTATCCTGGGCTCCCTAAAGCTAGATATACATCTGTCACATCAAGTGATTCAGAGTGACATGAGAGACTCAACTTTCTAGCCATGGTAAGGACACTATGTAGTACAGCAGGTGTCATCAAACTGTGGAAACTCAAAGTTGGCAAAATTAGTGGACCCTAATATGTTGGTCCTAGATATGGTTAGTGTGCATTCTCCCCCCCCCATATAGTTATACAGTTTTATGAGTCTGTAAGTTAGGCAGTCCTAATGTGTTGATTCTTAAAGCAATTAATATATGTCTAGCTGTAGGTTCAACAGGCATGCAATTAGGCACTGCTAAAGCCTTGATTCTACATGAGATTCCTACACATCTTTTATACTCACCTGGATTTGGTTTTGTGTGTATGCAAATTGGGCAGTTCTAATATGGTGATCTTAATAAGATGTGCTGTCCTTCATTCCTTAAAGTCAGCTCTGGCATGGTGGTACAGCTAAAGCCAGAACCAAGACCTAGAGCACTAACTGGAACACTGTATAAGAGAGGGCATGCATATAGCTTGATTAGAAGTGAAAATGTAGGGAGTGTAGCCTGATTCTGTGTTACTTTGTAGGAGTCTCTGAAGCATTCAAGGACTTAGTGCCCTAAATGAGGAAAACAAGGATTGAAGTAGGAATCTCTACAAATTCACAAATCTGTGCCTCTAGGAATTCATTGAATCTGAATTTTTCATTATTACTTCTCTTCTCATATAATCCTGTAAATTATTAATGACCTTTGACTGGTGTTCCAATGGAGAAGATGTCTCTCATCTAAATTGTGTGATTCAGAAGCCATCAGTTTGGACTGTGTGGGGTTTGGGGTTTTTTTGTTTGTTTATTTGTTTTTAATGAGTATCTCATAAAACCACAGAGAATTCTGAAACCAAGGACAGTGAATGGTTCCAGATATGGTTTTAGTCATGAATGTCTTAGAGGAAGTTCTAAAATACATGCTCAACAAGCATAGTATGTTTCCAACAGTATGTTTCAAATTCATAATGCATGTTTACTGTCTGTGAAACCAACTTGAATTGCATTTTATTGCTTCTATCTATCCCTGGGCCAAGGGAATAGTAAAATATGAGTTAGGATAGTGAAACGCAATAGAGAGAAAAAGGAAAAGAATTTCCCAAACGTATGCTAGTAAGTTGATAACCATTGAACTTTTTATGGGAAATGATGTGTATTATCAAAACCTATGAAGATAATAATTATTTTTTATTAAAACAAACACAAATCCCTATGTAACAGGCTAAAAACATTAAATCCTTTTCTTATAAATTTATTGCTGGGGAATATAAAAGGCAGGAGTACCTGCAGTTTTATAGATGGTCCCTGTTGTAATGATATTTGACAATTCAAGGCTCTACCCTTTAATTTGTCATTTCTAGCCCTTTCTGGTCATGACTGTGAATCCTTTCTGTAAGATCATGGGTATAGTTGACTCATTTAAATACCTGAAAGTGATATAGGGCTTCAGGAATTGAATTCACTGGTTCCAGTTGTTCTGTAAGACTTTGAGCTGGTTGAACTGAACTACAGCAATTAGTAGGCTGTCTTTAAGCAGTGTGCTTTGTATCCTAGAGTTTTGAAGACATGTATGTTTTTCTTTGTATACGCTCAATGGTTTGTGATGTCTTACATGGTTGATTGGCACAATTAAAGGTACTAAATTGCCAAATGGGAACAGTGAATTTTATATGGAAATTCACACATCTTAAAGATAGGCATATGGCTAGAGAAGCATGAGTGATAAATTTAAAATGTTTTTTTGTACATGAAACCATGGAATTTAAATTGTGGAAAGCGGCAAATTGACAAATGCAACAGAGATCACAGAAAAAGGCATCATTGCCAACCTAAAAATATTCAGAATCACAGCCCTTCCATTTCTGTTTAGATTGAAGAGTCTAAGTGTTTAAGTGAAAGAATTCCATTGTAACAAAAATAAAGGATTAGGCGGTGATTTCAGTAATAACTATTTACTGTTTTAGGAAATTGAAATGATTTTGATTATGATAAGGATATCTTTGTGAAGTTTCTCATCAGTTGAGTTCATTAGCACAGCACAAAGTATGAGAAATGTTTATTTTCTCGTGAAATATCAACCCTCAGTATATTTTTGCTTTTGTGAAGAAGGATGCAGGAGATTACAGTTATCTTGTTTTATTGTTGCTAACCCTGTGATTATGAGGATCATGCAACAAGGTTAGGCATGATGAAGGAGGTAAACTTGAGCCATAAGAGAATGATCCCTGGTTTTAGGAATTTCTATTTAGGTGACTGAGATGATTCAAGGAAACACTGGAAATAATAGAGTTATAGAAATGTGGGAACTAGCTGGTCTAGTCAAGTGTGGTAATGTCCCATTGCTATATACTGGCAATGGCTACTGGAGGACTAGATTGTTTGCCATGAAAAAAAGTCTTTGTTTATGGCTTATCTATCTGTTTTGCGTGCCTCCTGGAAAAGAGCTGGGTTCATACAGGGAGGATACAATCTACCCCGCCAAAATAAGAGAAACCCTGTAGAAGTTAGGTTTATCCAAATCTTTTTAACCAGTTGTCAGGAGAGCTTTCTAGGTAAGCCAGTGTTTTTTTGTTTTTTTGTTTTTTGTTTTGTTGGGTTTTTTTACACATGGATGAGGAGAAAACCTTTACACCACTTGGCTCTGCAAAGGCAAAGTAGACCTTGATATAAATGGAGTGGAGTCAGAGGGTCTCAGAGGTCTTCCCCTCTGTGCATATGTATTTGTTTGGGTAGCCAGGTGGGGAGAGGAAGAGAAGGAAAAGCATTGAGGCATTTTATGTTCAGGGAAGAATGCTGGAAAAAGAGCAGTGGCTGAAAGGAAGGAGGATGTCTTCTGTAATGCGGCCCACAGGCCATTCTTCATATATCAGAACAGAATTGCAAAGATTATAGCACGTAAGTAATAAGATTCTTTGGTTTTCACTGAAGCATTATTCCACGAGGTGACAGAAGAGGGCTACTGCTAGTAATCTCTGAACCAACTCAGGATCCTTAATTCCATGGTTCTTAAAATTGTGTGTATGATAATCCCCATTGTAACTTGTCTTTAAAAATATTCCCAACTGATTCAATAGGGCAGTGGGATGGGCATAGAGCTCTAGACTTCTTTTTAAAATTTTTTTTTTCAACGTTTATTTATTTTTGGGACAGAGAGAGACAGAGCATGAACGGGGGAGGGGCAGAGAGAGAGGGAGACACAGAATCGGAAACAGGCTCCAGGCTCTGAGCCATCAGCCCAGAGCCGGACGCGGGGCTCGAACCCACGGACCGCAAGATCGTGACCTGGCTGAAGTCGGACGCTTAACCGACTGCGCCACCCAGGCGCCCCTAGAGCTCTAGACTTCTTAATAAGCATGCTGGAAGTATGTCAGCACAAACCAAGCATGCTTCTGAAAACTACCTGAACATTTTTTTCCTAATCCACCAAACATGTCATATAAATATTTCCTGATCTCTATTTTTAGAGCCTTTAAGAATAAATTAATTCTCATCTCAAGCAACTGGGAGGTCCAGAGATCAAGGAACCAGGAGATCAGAAAGACATTATTCAGAGTCAGAAACAAAGTTTAGACTCAGGAGGTCTGAATGAAGTGTCAACTCGTAGGCTTTGGCTAGAGACCTTAAAAAAGTCAGGACCAAGACATTGACCCTGCAACCAGAGATAGCAAAGAGACAGGCAGAAAGAAATGTCCACGAGTGTTTCTAGAGGATTTAGACATAAGGCAACATTTTGATCTTCCACACGTGACAGAGCCCCAGAATCTGAACACAGTGAACTAATCTAGGACTGACATTAAGGATCAGAAATATTTGGCAGGTAGGTAAATATTTCCTAATCTGTGCCCTGGGCAGACAGTGGTAATCAATTATGGCGAGCTTTCTCTAAACCCAGGTGTGGTCTTAAAATCCTTATCAACACAGTCGTTAGGCAGCCACTACCAGTAAGTCAGAACTGGCAGGAATGTGAAATCCATGTGTCATTTCTGATTATTACTGGACACTGACAAATGACCTTTGATATCTCTGCCAACTCAGCTGTTTGTTGTCCTTGTGCAAGAGCCATGGGGTGGCTTTCATTAGAATATATCTGCTTAAGGGGCGCCTGGGTGGCGCAGTCGGTTAAGCGTCTGACTTCAGCCAGGTCACGATCTCGCGGTCCGGGAGTTCGAGCCCCGCGTCAGGCTCTGGGCTGATGGCTCAGAGCCTGGAGCCTGTTTCCGATTCTGTGTCTCCCTCTCTCTCTGCCCCTCCCCCGTTCATGCTCTGTCTCTCTCTGTCCCAAAAATAAATGAACGTTGAAAAAAAAAAAATATATCTGCTTAAATATAAAGAATACTCAGGAAAATGGGAGTGTGCTTGAATTAGTCTTTATCTTGTCTCTGATTATACATCTCTAAGTTTTCAAAGGCCATACAGAAAGGAACAGTCCTAGCTCCCTTTGGGAGTCATATATTAGTTTATGCCTCTGCCCTATTTGATTTGATTAAGATTTTCTCATGGTCTTTGAGCACTTGCTCCACCAATTGTGAAA